TTCAGATCTAGCTCTCTTGGGACGTCCTAAACAATAAAGTTGGAAACTTTACTCCTTTGCATGTCTTAATGGGACTCAAACCATAGATTTAGCATTTTACTTCCATTAAGTGATCACTAACTCATGTATGGTTGATCTACAACCATCAAGATGCAAGCTATATGGATAAAGGACTTCATAAACATCAAAAGAAACATCACATAACATCTGGAGTAGCATTTACTCACAAAAGTTCATCCATGGGACCAAAATATGCTAAAATCTTCCCCAAATCTAGATCTAGACATAGGATGAGCAACGTTCAGACTTTATACCTCCAATAAGCTGGAAAAAGTGAATAATCCCTAGATCTACAAGCTCCCACTTGTCCAATGCTTCTCTACAAGTCTACTTCTTCTTAAACATGCACCACACACACCAAAAACACACACTTAATGGTCAATCTCTTGAGAAATGGGTTAGGGTTTCGAGGTATAGCTCAAAAGAGGTAAATGAGGCTGATAAGGTGAAAGCTTGGGGGATTTAATGTGTTTAAATAGGATGCAAACCCTAAAAATTAGGGTTTTCCCCTGACTAACGTACGCCCTGCGTACGAATGGGTACACCCAACATACCAGGGGAATACCTCGTCTCATGCATGTTTCGTAGTACGCCCGACGTACCTTATGTACGCCCAACGTACCAGGGTCGAAAAGTACAAATAAAAGAAATTAATTAATTAATTAACATTACCTGACATATCGAGCATTACATAATATTTTGATATTAGCGTTAAAATTGAACCGGTCAAAATATAAAATCGGGTTTTATATTTGAACCTTAAATGTGATTTTTTTTAAATTGACACCATGATTAATTAGATGCATGAAATTATCATGATATCACATGTTTTAACATAGAATAACATTCAATCCATTTTTCAAATGCAAGTCTATGCCATCCAACTTTAGAATCATTTGCACACCATTTGTATAATGCTTGTGGAAAAAAGGATACCTAACCATTTGTGTTATCTTTTTTTTTTACCAGAGTATTTTTTTCGATTTCTATAACCAAGTTATATGCCAATTATATAAGTTTCTATACTTAGATGACTTGATTGGAAACCTCTTGTGATAAAGGTCACCTAAGCAAGAGTGTTCTGATGCATAGATAAGACCAAACATGTCAAATTAACAAATAGATTGTTAAGGGTCTCATACATCTAGGAATTATAAATGATGTAATTAATAAAAACTATTTACCTTGTTAAAATTGAGTAAGTGGGATAAATGTCACCTAACCTTTTATTTAATTTGCAACGTAGATCCTATACTTTAAATAAATAATGTTTTTGGAAACAAAAATGTATTATTTTTAAAGAATAAAATACTAAGTAAAACTTTGTTAAAATTTTGTAGATGACTCCACCAACTACTGTAAGACACCACCACTCAATGAACATTCGATCAATGCTTGACAAAGAAAAATTGGGTCACTCCAACTTTTTGGATTGACATGGAAATTTAAGAATCGTTTTGAAACAAGAAAAGAAAGACTATGCCCTTGAATCACAAGTCCCGAAAGAACCCCCCCTCTATTCCAAAGGCTGCACATGATGGATGGCTTAAGCATATAGATGACTAACTTGATGTGTCATGCCTTATGTTTTCCACAATGATTCTTGATCTTTAGCGGGATATGGAACTCTTCACTGCCTTTGACATGATTGAACATCTCAAGCAGATGTTTGGTCAACAAGCAATGACTGAAAGATTTGAAACTATTCTAGCCCTTCATGCCTGCAAAATGGAGGAAACCTGAAATGTGAGCACTCATGTTCTCAAGATGAAAAATCATTTGGATCAATTGGAGAGAATACTCCCCTCCCACCAGTGGACGTAGGTCACATTAACTGAATCACGTAAATATTGTGTCATGTATGCTTATAGTTTTGCTAGTTATCTGCTTTACTTCCTAATATATATATATATATATATATATATATATATATATATATATATACTAAATGAGATGTGGGTTAAAAGTAAGATGGGCTAGCTATCTACTTATAGGCTAAAAACCCAACATTAAACATGATTTCGGTTGGATTCTTGATTCTCTTTCCATATCAAAAATTCAGTTGTCGGTTTCATGGTTACAGTTCTTTACTGTTCGGTTCCAGAACTGAGGTCACACCTAGGTGATTTTGTTCTAAGAAAATGGGGCGTAATGTGGATCGGGAAGGGTGTTGCTAAATTGACACCCTTAGACATCCTATGAAAACTTTTATTAAAAGTCAACCTATAATAAACTATTTATAATTTTTTTTTTAAAACAATGCAAATTCAACCAATAAAATATCTTAAAAATCAAATAAGATGTCTATATGAAAAAATGGGGTGTTTTTTTAGCCAATCCCATCGAGAAATACGTGTTGGCCCCGTGGAAGAAAAAGTGACGTCAATTGTATCAATCTTTTGAGTGATTGATTCCGTTTGTACGTGGTTGGTTGCATCCTTAACTTCTGTGGCTAATATTTGCATCCTTAGTCACCTTGAACTCCTTTATAACCAATAGCAAAAATATGCGTTCAAAAAAAATCTCCCTAAATAACCTATAGCAATTATCTCAAGGTGATTGTGGTGCTATCTAAACCTGGCTCATGGCTCGCTCTTTCAGCAACGAAGAAGAAAACCTGGTAACAAGCTAATCTCTTTTCATCTAAGTTTTAACTTTTCACAAAATCGAGTTAGTCTCACCTGTTTCTCCCTAGAAATAGATAAAATCACTTTTTTTTGGCAAAATGTTCTCATATACATACAAAGTACAAACGCATATGTCTGTGTTTCTATTTTGAGATGTTTGTGTTTCTATTTTGGAAAAATATTCTCACCTGTTTCTCCCTAATGACTTATTATTATTATTATTATTATTATTATTATTATTATTATTATTATTAGTAGTAGTAGTAGAGAGAGAGAGAGAGAGAGAGAGAGAGAGAGAGAGAGAGAGAGATCCTGACCATAGAACGTGAGTAGATTGGCCTATATGTCATTCAATTTCAAACAAAAAGCCACATGTTGAAATAATAATTATTTTCACGCCCTGCATAGTAGATATACATCAAATAGCTACTTCTAATACAAAGCGCATCCGGTAGTCCTATCTAAAGTCAGTGGGTATCGACATCATGTTAAACCGGACGGTACGCAGCCTAACCTTACAAAGGGTGACGTGTTACGGTGGTGGTGCGGTGAACACGATACGAGAAAGCAAACACACTCCCAACGGTAGTACTTTGTGTATAAAAATGTGCTATGTGGTGGGTTGGTGGGTGTAGTATGATTTCCTTTTAGTTTTGTAGGGTGATTAAAGAAGGCGAGTGAAAATGATGTAATGCTGACGTGATAAACTAAAATTTATGGTGGTTTGTGGTATCGTACCTACCGGTCTTATAACACCAAAAACTTATCACTTCAAATGACACATCATCCTTCAAATTATAACATAATTGTAGTAAATTATATTATGTTATAACACCACAATATTTCAATGTCATCATTTTTTAAAGGTTTTATTTTTTAATAATTATAAAACAAATATAATTTTATAAAACATATTATTTAAAGAAACCATTATATATATATATATATATATATATATATATATATATATATAAAAGATGTTTAAAGTTAGGACTAATAAAGAAGCATGTTTTTTTTGTCAATTTTGTCCTTTATTCTTTAGCCATTTTGATATTTTTGGTCTTCACAATAAAAAATTTTACATTTTTTTTGTATCCTTTTAATATTCAAAGTTTTGCCACAAAAACTTTAAGGAATTGACAATTTTGCTCCCTTTTCTAAAAATTTGCTAATTCCAACCCCTTTAATTCTTTAGCCATTTTGACACTTTTGGTCCTTACAGTCAAAACTTTTACATCATGTTTTTTGTCAACTTTGCCCCTCACTCTTTAGCCATTTTGACACTTTTGGTCCTTGCAATTAAAATTTTTACATTTTTTGGAACCTTTTAATATTCAAAGTTTGGCCACAAAACTTTAAGGAATTGAAAACTTTGGTCCCTTTTCTAAAACTTGCTAACTCCAACCCATTTAATTCTTTAGCCATTTTGACACTTTTGGTCCTTACAGTCAAAAATTTTACATTTTTTCATAAAAAACACAAAAAAATGGCCCAGGGCAAAGCCTAGATTTTTTCGCTAAAAGAGTCAACAACAAGTTAGGAATAGTGAAACTCACGTTTTTTTAACTATTTTCATCCTTGCACTTTCTGTGTCTGTCATTTTCTTCTTTTTGTATATTTTTTTCTATATTGGTCCTCATATTTAACTTTTTTGTTTTTTTCCTGCCCTCTATCTATCTGTCTCCGACTGTTTATCCGTATGAAAATAATCCAAAGTCAACTAAAAGAATCAACAACGACGCCTATTAATCTATAAACAAAAACAACACTCAAATTAGACGCACACGACCCATGCGGAGCATGGGCAACATATCTGGTTTAAATTGGAAATATGTTAGGATTGTATGCATTTTTAGATAATTTGCTTTTTTAATTGTGGTTGGCCAATAGTCATGTCACCGTTTGGTGGTGTGCAAAACTCTTCAATGCCGTTTAAACATTTATCAATAAGAGTCATGCTGGTAAAAACGAAATCCATAAGAATTAAGAATGAAAACTTGGGATTCTACATAAATGTAGATGAACATATGATTGATAAATGTAGCGGGCAAATAAATAAAACTCAAGGCTTCACCATGAGCAAATGTATTTTCCGGATATTTGGTATAATTTAAGGGGTTCAAAATGGTATTTTTCAACTTTTAGCTTTTAAAAAGTAATTTTCGGGCATCTGTCATACTATAAGGGGTGAAAATTGGTCTGAAACCTCTCAAACTTCGTATAAACAACAAAATGAAGAAATGATGGATGAAAACAATATTTTTTTAATATATAAAATTCGGTTTTTTATAGGTTTGAAAACCAGTTAATCCAAACCATTTTCATTAGTAAAGTTCTCAAACCGATCCAAACCAGTGGATATGTTTTAAACTGAACATGCCTCATTTTCGGATAGGTTTTTGATTTCAAACCATTTCGGATCATGAACCATAAACCGATTATTTTGCCCACCTCTCTATTCATACAAACTAGGAAAGTTTCCCCCCGCGTTGCGGGGTTAAAGGGTATTCCATTGTAAACAATGTTATTGATTAAGTATTCAACACATTGTTAAGTTGTCATGCATGAAACATAGATTCCGCATGTAACTACCATGCATTCAGGTCTTTTTCGTCTCCATGCCTTCTCAAATTGTTGCTCTGGTCAACCTGATACTTTGTGGTAGCAGTTTTGTCACATGACACCATAAAATGCAACAAAAATGAGATGATTTTACTTTTTACAACACAATACAATACAAGACATACGATATACATGAAAAATGTTTCAGTTAAGAAATAAATCGTTCAATCAAGTCAGCTTCATCCAGGTCAAAGTAATATAGAAACCAAAGGAAGGCTTTCAGCCGTTTATGTTCCCTGAATACCATTGATGACAAAAGCACCCAAAGTTAAAAATATTTATTCATATATTTCCGATTTTATTTTATAACTATCTATCCTCTACATCTAAAACTCTGTTAACAAATAATGTATAATAAAATTAACATTAACAACAATTTGGGTTTAAAATGTCACAAGCCCTAAGATTGAGAGAGGTTTAGGCAGGAGTATAAGTATAAGTAACCCCATAAGAATATAGGTCAGTATCACAGGGGTCTTGTATGTCCAAACCAAATTTAAGACCAAAAAGTTCACACACACACAAAAAAAAATATACAAATGCAATTCTGATGCTCCTTCGATATAACATGCCAGTGACTTAAAGCCTTATGAAATGTGATTTTAAAGGCAAAATGGCCATTTTACATGAATTTTAACACTCAGGGACAAAGGGTTACCAAAGATTAGATGATTTTAGGGGCAAAGCTCTCATTTTACGTAGATGCAACATTGTAGGGACATAAAGTGTGAACCAATGCGGTTTTAGGGGAAAAATGGTGAATTTAAGTAAGAAATAAACTCCCCAAAATATCTATTCTTGTTAGGTCATGTAACCATCAAGCGAAAACAATTTTACCTTAGCATGGTCAAGTTCTTCCAATAGCAGAACTCCAACACCTTCTCTAATTAAAATCCATAACAACCCTATAGTTAAAAGGAAGAAGAGGACTCCAACATTGTAACTCATAATTATACTTATGAAATCAGTAATAACCTTTGAAAATGGGAAAATTATACATATATTATATACATAATGTTAGCACCTGATAATAACCTAATAATCACCTGTGTGTACAATTCCGTTTGCATGCTTTATGAAAAAAGTGTCTGTAAATTCTCAAATTCTTTTCTCAATTTGCTAGTTTTATTTTCCAAGTTCTTGTACCTTTGGCAATGAGAAAATCATAAAATCTATCGTTGTAAAGCACTTAATACACATAAAAATTAAATATAAATGAAAATCTAAAATAAATTATATCTTAGCAAAACTTACAGAAAATTTTCATACTTTGAACCAACAAAAGAGACCACTTTGTCTTGAAAAAGCCAAGATAGCAGCTGGAAGATCTTATTATCTCAGTCAACAAAGGGACAATAGAAAATACAGTATAACAAAACAAACCAAGTAACTAATGAAGGTGTAAAATTTACCATTTTCGATCTCAAAGTCTTCATCAATAAACACCTTTCTTTCTCAGATTCCTTAAAACATGAACAAACAAACCTTTCTCTTGTTCGAATTGGTTTCAGTTTTGTAGTAATCTGCATTCAAACAGCCAAAAAATGAAACTAAATTCCAATTTCAATTAAGTAAACATAAAAAACTTTATTGGTTAAGAAAATAAACATGTAACTTCAATCTGTCTGCCTGATCACAAAATCAGACGAAAGTTGAACTCTAATAAATTAATGCCAACATCTTTATTAGGTTGACAACAAAAAAGTGTTTGTATTTCATACACTCTTCAACACTTCCCATATATCCATTTGGAACAATGAATTATAACAGAATAGAACAAACCAATTAAATTTATTGCAAAAATACATAAAGTAAATGTTACAGATTTGCCTCCTTTAAACCAAAAGAAAACATACTGTAAATAAATTAAAAGTTTAGGTTTACCTTGAGAAAACCAATTGAAGCAGCCATCGAAAACTGCAAGAATCGGAAATGAAAGAGCCGTTGAAAATTGCAACTAAAAGGAAACTAAAGGAAGAAATCAAAAGATAGAAAAGATGAAATTAATGTTTTGTTGACTGGTTTCATGTTGACTTTTTACCAAACGGAATGATTATAACCTGTAACTGCTTATCAGAATGATGCAGCCAACCCCTTCTGCCTCCAGCTTCTTTTCCGCCTCCTCCATCATCTTCCCTTTCTCTCGAACGCCTTTTGTATCCGACAGATATTCTTTCATAACTTCGACCTACGGATGATGTTGATTATCCGGACTCGGCTTGGAAAACGAAGTCAACGGAGGTGAAGGGAAGGCACAAAGAAACCCCTGTCAGAGAGAAAGCAAGAGTCGATTTGAAGCAGCCGACAAATAAAATTGAAAGGTAGAGGCGCTGCACTCCTTTTTTTGTTCGTGTCACCACACAGCAACATAAAGAAATCAAGAACCCCTGTGTATTCAAGGTAATTAAACATAAGTTATGTTATGTGATATCAGGGGCCGTTTGGATATATAGATTTTGCAATCTAAAGTATTAAAATCATAATAAAAAATAATTTGGTTAAAGTGAAGAGTAGTTCACAATAATGCAGGTTGTTGATTATTCCAAACAATATAATTCATGGAGATAGGCCTACAAAGTTCAAATTCATAGTTTCTTCCCACAATTACTAAATGTAACTAATGGGGACTGACTTCAATCAAACTTACAGCCAATAACCTCTATTGACAAAATCAAATGTCATTAGCATAAGAATGTGATACAATTTGATATCAAATCTGACTAAATATGGGCAAGGCCACAGCTTGAAACCTGAAAACCTTTTCTAATTCCCTAAAAGCATAATACCTATAATTATGTCAATGTTAAAGCTTTGGAACCATTTTAACATCCAACTCATTTAACCATATGAGTAAACCCGTGTTACTTATTTCCGTTTTGATTCTTAGAAAAGACTGAACGTTTTTTCATCATTCAATATATCAAACTATGAGCAAATGTTGCATTTCAACTATTCATCCATAACCCAATACCCTAGTAATTTGAAATCTAAAGAAAAAAATATATATTGCAAAGAACACATTTTTACGCATCAAAGACCAACAGCTAATAACATTCAGAGCATATCATTTGATTAACAGAAAAATTGTGAGATTAAAAGCATGCAAGGAGGGCAAAAGAGGGATTTCTCACATTCAGATTGTACTCTGAAACTTTTCCTTTTCCTTCACTTCTAATACCATCAGTCACCAAAGTTAATGGTCTTTCATCAACGACTTCATCAATGAAACCAAACTCTTTAGCGTCTTGTGGTGTCATAAAGTAGTCTCGATCCATATTCTTCTCAATCACATCAACAAATTGTTTATCTCCTTAAATACTAAAGAAGAATCACAAAAAAAAATACCATCAATGCTTTCGAAGGTTCTTGTTTCTCAAAATAAAACCCTATGCCTCATTAAGGCATTTCATCAAACAGGTTAGGTGCAATTATGAACAACATAATCAACTTGTGAAAAAACATACCTTTACTAAATATGAGGCTTCCTTAAACATTAATTTCAAACCTGTGCAAAAAAAGGAAGCTTCGGGTAGTTAAAAAACCGAACTCAAAATTTTAAACTGGATTTTAACCGACAAGAAATTGAAAACTATAAAGAAAATCAAGGATGATTCGTCTTAAACCAACAGAAGGTGCAAGCGGAGAACGGAAGATTCGACTTAAATATGAAAATATGGCACTTATAACAGAACGGAAGCATAAAACAAACCACTGTTACCGTTGAAAGGTCCGACCGATACCGATGAGCGTGAAGATTCCGATATCGTCCCTTCTACTACTGTTTTTTCTCATCTTTCTTTTTGTTTAGCGCCAAGTATCCAGGAATTGAAGCCTTTTTTGTATATATATTGATTTTGGATGCTCGGTGGATGTAGAACACAAAGTAGTGACCGGCGTCGGTGGTTGTCATGAAGACTTCTGATCGGAAACAACAGGCGGAAGCGGTGACGAAGAGGTCGAGCGGAAGAAAGTTGACCGATGGTCGCTATAGAGAGACGGTGGAAGGAAAAGGGTATGAATGGGCGTTTTAGTAGAAGGAAAAAGAAGTGGGGGAAGGTTTATGTGATTGGATACAAAAGGGGGTGGAATAGTAGAAGTGCTGGCCGGTTCGTCTAAATCAAGAACAGAGGCGGTGGAGCAATTAAAACAAGGACACAAATAAAAAAAATAAAGTGTCAAAACAATAAAAACAGAAAACCTTGGTGGCAAAAATCTAAACTTTTGGTGGCAAAAGTGTGAACAGCCAAAAAAAAATACTTTAGACAAGGCTCCCCACCTTTAAGTGCGGATATAATAGTCTACATGCAAAGGAACATGTTATAAATTTCATGTGGCAATAATTTTCGTTCGGAAACATGTTGTATTTCAAAAAACAAAAGTTACCTTACGGCGAATCATTTCCTTTTGGTGTTTATTTGTTATTCATAAATGTCTCTTTAAAAGTATGTTGCGGTTTTGGATTAAAAAGAGAAGTATGTTGATGTATTTTATTAAAATAATAATATTTTGTTTCGGATTAGAAATAGATGTATATTGTTATTTTTTATTAAAACCCAAAAAACCCGATTAAATGTTCTTTCATTATTTTGTAGTTTAGCTCGTTTAATTGGTCAACAATATTATTTCTTATTTCACTAATATAATGACATAAATGTTCGATATACATTTTGGAGTTTATCCGACTTTTATAAATATCTTATTAAACTTTGAAGTTATAAATTATTATCATTTAAAAGTATGTAATACTCTTAAAAATAACAATTTTTCTTTTTATATAACATTACCGTACATAAATTAAAATAAAAACTCTTAAACCAAACCTGAGGAGATGAGATTTTGAAAATTATGGTTAACATAAAGAAGATATCACGATTACATTTACAATAATCAAAATAAATGAAATTGAATGTCTATTTTTATCTAAATATTTGACAACAATATAGATACGCAAGTGAAAAGGATAAATAAAAGAAAAACAACATTATAAAAATAAATATATATTTTCTGCAGGCCTTTAAATAAAAGGATGCAATACACTGATTGCAACAATAGTTAAATAAATAGTTAGTCCCCTTATTTTAGTTATTACTGCTAATCTATTTCCTTTGAAGATGAAATAATACACTTTCCTTTTAATGAAAAAAAATGGTAAGTTTGTAACATTAAATTGTTGAATAAAATAAAGATATATAATTAAAAGATTATGTTTGGCTATAATGAATTAATAATCCAATACATTAAGGAAATGTCAACAAAAGACCATACACACCTTGTAACACATTTTGAGGGCTTTTAGTTGCTCAAGGTCTTCTTCCATGATCTATTGCCTGTTCTCTTTCTTCCTATATAACAATTCAAATAGATGAGCGAACTAATAATAGTGATTTAAATTCAAAATTGAAAGAAATTACCCACAAATCTCAATTTAGTGCAAAAAAGTGAGGGTCACGTCCATCTTTTTCTCACTTCACACTCTGTAGGTACAAACTGATCAAAATGTCAGTGAAATTACTAAAATACCCCAAATTGTAAGAACCAAACTACATACCAACACACACTAACTGAAACCTAAATCACGAAGAATGAAATCCATTAACAAAAAACTACAACTTCTTGTTTACATAAAAGCACTTCTTGAGATCAAGCAAAACCGCACGAAATAGTTTTCAGATCTTCTTCTTTTGAGATGAATCAAATCGTAGATTATTAACAATATATATAATCAAAAAAATAGATTTTTCATTCTCATCAAAACAAAAACTGCAGGAAATATCAGTCTCATTGAAAATTACATTTGAAAATGGAAAAATGTAACCACATTACACCTAAAATCGAGAAATCGGAATCTAAATCCATAATCGGCCAAATCACCAATTAAAGTCTGCAATGAGATAATTCAAGCAGTCTAATGGCATTATGAAATTGAAAAGCAACAGCTTTATTACCTTGAAACCTATATAGTTATTGATCTTATTCAATTCGACTATTCCAAAGAACAAAAACAAAAGCAAAACCATTGATCATTGTATTTGAATAAGAAAACGAATAAAAAGATTGGATGATGCGATTGGATGACTTACATGAGAATTTAAGCTCTAAAGGATCGATGTTGAGGAGTTCACCCGTACTCGTTCGTTCAACAAATGCACAATTCGACACCCAAAACGAAAAAAATAAAGTAAAGCAAATTTTGAGTTTTTGAATTTAATGGGAAAAGGATAGATGAAATGGATATGGGACGGTTGTTCTGGATTAAACGTTTTTTAATGAAATATGAAAATGGAGAGATTGATGTTGATGGCGGTTTGAATTTTGAAACTCCAGTTTCACCCCCAAACCTCAAATCTTCTCAAATTGAACTTGAGATATTATCACAAATAAACACAATGGTTATCGATTTCATCGATTTATTGAGTTTTCTTATGATTTTCGTGATAGGAAAGAGAGACGATGAATATTGTTGAGTTATCTCCGGGTCATGTGATACAGGAACAGAAAATGAAAAAAAAATCTAAAACTCATATGGAATTAGAGCTCGTTTGTGAGAACATACCATAGAAGCGACGGTTCTAGGGTTAGACGAATTTAACCTGCAACGGATCGAAACACAAAAATTAGATTCACGAGCAGAAAATAAAACTTAAATCGAAGTCATATCTAAAAAACAAAAAGACTCTTCGTCTTCAACATTGAATCTGGAATTTGAAAGAGCTATAAATATGAAACTTTGAAGTAACAAATCCCTTTATTTCTTCTGTATTTATGATCCTTTTATTTGAATGAGTATTTTAACTTTCAACTAATTTGGGGATGCCGATAAGAAGAAGTTGACCGATTCAATGACCAAGGTGATGGAATACCGGATCAATCTTATCTTAAAATTTATAAATTCAAAATATGGATTATGACTTTTTCAAACGTTGACCAAATTAAGATTTAGGATTCTGTGATGCATAAAATGAGTGTATATAATGTATTAAGGCTTATACTTCTTAAATTTCAGCATTTGACCAAATATATATATTATAATGTATTAAGGCTTATACTTCTTAAATTTCAGCATTTGATCAAATATATATATATATATATATATATATATATATATATATATATATATATATATATATATATATATATATATATATAAAAGATAAATGGTGGGGTTTAATGTTTATTAAAGTTAAAGTATCACAAAAGATTTTAGTACAAAATTGTAGGTTTTTAAGAAGTGTTTGTACTTGTCACTCCATTTAACTTTCCAATAAAAATTGTTTACCGTCGTTAAATAAAAATAAATAAATAAATAAATAAATAAAATACTGCGTTGAAGTGTTGAACAACAACATCAAGATTGCGCAAAGTAAGTTTGATTATGTAAATTTCCTTATTATTAACTTCTTAATTATCTTCTCCAAAAGTAACAACTTTTGCTTACTATTGGCTTTTACACATGATTTGTTGTTTTTTCTTAACTAGACGCTATACCTTCGAATATACCGGTGAGTTATCTTTCAGTGATTTACGAAAGATGTTTAATTCATTCCAATTGTATATATAATCAATATTTCATAACAAATGTTCGCAAATAATAAAATAGTTTTGTATTTTTTTGTTGTATTTTTTCTAGAATAAATTAAAATATAACATTTATATATGTATTTAACGAAGATTAGATCCTAGTGAATATATTTATTTTATAATGTTATAAAACCATATATGTTTATGAGTGAAATAGGTCAATCAATTACAAATTAAAGAAAAGAAAAGAATTCTCAAAGCATCTTCAACAACGACTTTTTTAAAATTTATTATTATTAATCAAGCACTTATTATTATTGGGGCAAAAAGTTATATATATATATATATATATATATATATATATATATATATATATATATATATATATATATATATATATATATATATATATATATATATATATTTATTTATTTATTTTTATTTATTGACAACATATATGATCAATATATACTTTTAGGTTTTGTCTTTTAACCCTCTTATACTTACTTATATTTCATTTTACATCCTTAAATATATTTTAATTTTAAATATTTTTTTATTTATTGACTAATTAATTATTTCTATTAAATATTTAATAACTATTACGAAATATAAAATTATAATGATTATATAATTTGTTTTAAATATTTTATATGACTATTCTATAGTAGTTTTTTTGTATTAATTTTTCCGAAGGATATGTTGTAATATATTTTAATTTTAAATATTTATTTATTTATTGACTAATTAATTATTTCTATTAAATATTTAATAACTATTACGAAATATAAAATTATAATGATTATATAATTTTTTTTAAATATTGTATATGACTATTCTATAGTAGTTTTTTTGTATTAATTTTTCCGAAGGATATGTTGTAATATATTTTTTTGAAACAATGTATTGTAATATTTTTAATAAAATTAAAATATAATATGTATTAAAAAATGAATAATTAAATAAATGAGTTTTATAGAACATTTTAGATAGATGTAGATAAATTAGTTAAATTTTTATATATAAAAAAAAACTATTAGAAGAGGTTAACCATTGGAGTGGTTATTTAATTATAGGTTAAATTATTAGAATGATGATGTAACAATAGTATTAAGTCCTAGTATACCTTAACCATTGAAGATGGTCTCAGTTTCTTAACGATGTTATTGACTAGTAAGTTATATTTTTTTATTTTTTAAAAACAAATAAAATCTTTAAATTGAACATGTGAATGGTAAAGATCAATATTTTATATTTTCGCTTATAATCCCTTTATTAGAATAGTAATTTTGTGTTTCTTTTTAATTTGATTTTATATTTGAAGTGATTGATTTTGGTTGTTTTGAAATCTAATGATATTTTTAATTTGATTTTATATTTAAAGTAATTGATTTTGGTTGTTTTGAAATCTAACGTATATTGAGTAAATTACATAAATCGTCCTAATAGTATGATCCAACTTGCGTGTTTTATTTTTAACTTTTGTTTTTCACTCAGATTATCCATAGTTTTAAATTTTGTATGTTTCGTCCCAAATGAAATAACCATTTTATCCTTGCTAATTTTCTTTCTTTGAATTACTTATCATTTGTTTATAATT